ATCCTGGCGAGCTGAGCCTGGCCATGTCCTTTCTGCCAGGACACCCCTACTCTGTGATCTGTGAAGTGGGTCAATTGGAAGACAAGGCTGGAGTCATTTACAAGTTTCTCCACGTAGATTGTAGTCAGGTTTTCTCCCAGACCTTAGGCTTTTGTATTTTTTTTTAATTTTAATTTCACTGTTACCCTTGACTAGTGTCCTTTCTGTTGCAGTGTTGGAAAAGCAGGAGGTATTTGTGCCTCATCTATTACTGCAAAAAAATTAAATAAATGTAACAATAAACATCCAAAAACTCACTCTGCTTCCTGCCTAGCAAGCCGTTTTTTTTAAAGAGTGGGGGGGGGCATTCTGAGACGCACTCTCCAATCCTCTGTAGAGAGGTTCTCTCAAAGCTCTTGACTCACTCTGTCTGGCTTGAAGATGTGAGCTTCACACCTCTAGATGTTGGTCAGAGTAAGCTCTTGGTTTTTCTTTGCTTCATATAAAACACAGGTGATGTGTTTATAAAAAGATAAAGAGATACAGGATATGTTCTATGGGTGTGTGCTGAGGTATGGGGGAAGGGGATGTCTCAGTGGGCCCATGCCGAGCATCCCTTACTCCTGAGGGACCAGCCACACAGTATAGTATAGAATAGAGTTTATTCAGGGCATGGGGAGGGGAGTTAAGAGGGTAGTAGAGGCAGAGAGAGAGAGAGAGAGAGAGAGAGAGAGAGAGAGAGAGAGAGAGAGAGAGAGAGAGAGAATATAGAGAAGTAGAGGCTGGTCATGAGCACTTGGAGAGAGGGGGGAGGGGCAAGGGGACAGAGGGGAGGGCAAGAGAGGAAAAGAGCAAGGAGGGGGCAAACAGCCCCTTTTATAGTGGGCCAGGCCTACCTAGCTGTTGCCAGGTAACCGTGGGATGGAGTTTAGACAGAATGCTAACAGCAGGTTTACTACTCAAAGCCGTCACTCACTTCCTCATTTTCCATCCCAAAAGCACAGCCTCCTTCATTTGAAGATTCACCCTGTTAACTGCACATCTTAATTCCCTGTACCTGAGCCTGGCAGGTCAGAGAGCCATCATAAATGCCTTTTTTACTTTTTTCAGTGAAAGTCTCCAAAACACATGAGAAGTGAATGTGATGTGCTACATACATACAAGGCACCCTTCCCTAGGACAGCCTCTTGGGAGGTAGAGGCTGACAGAGCATTCAAAGCAGGCCTGGGATGCTCGGGACCCTATCTCAACATAAGCACACACAAGAGGCCAGGGACATGGCTCAACAGGTAACATCAGCACTCTACTGGGACACAAGGTCTCTACTGAAGATGGGCTTGAACTGGCAGCCAGTGATCCTCCTGTCTGCCCTCCCCATCCACAGCGCTGAGCTTACACGTATAACTGACCATGTGTGGATTTTTATGTGGGTTCTCAGGATTTGAACTTGGGTCCTCATGCTTGAGTAGATAGGGTCTCATGAATCCCACAGTGGCCTCTAATTATCTATTACTGGACAGCTGAAGATAAGCTTGAACTTACGCTTGTCCTCTTGCCTCAGTCTCCTCGGTGCTAGGATTATTCAGGGCCTCCAAATGCTAGGCAGGCACTCTGCCAACCAAGCTACATCCCCAGCCCAAGAACCCACCTTTTGAAATCTGCTACAAGAAATGCACAGGACCAGTGGGCCGCGGCTGGCAGCTCTTCCCCAGCTCAGTGCTCCCTGGCAGCACCTCACATCGCCCGCTGGAGCCCAAAATAACTCAGGTTTATTTTTGAACTCAGCTTCTTGAGTAAGAGGCAAATGAAAACAAGCTTTAAGTCAAGAGGCTTCTTTTAAAAGGCAATTTCCAAGAAACGTCTGGGGGTCACTGTGGGTTCAGCCCCACCCAGCATGCCGTGTTAGCAGGTTACAAGCTCCATGCTTCAGGCTGCAGAGGGATTGATTCCCCCGGGGGTCTTTGTTTTGCTAGTATTACTTTATAATTGCATGTTTGTGCAAGTGTGCCACGGCATACATATATGTGGAGGTCAGAGGGCAACCTTGGGGAATAGATTGCCTCCGCCCACATTTACGGGTCTGGAGGATCACACTCAGGTCATCAGGTTCACACCCACTGAGCCTTCTCATTGGTCCAGTTTTGTTCTACCTACCTTCTTGCACCTGAGTGTGCCTCCAGCTTCCCACCCTGGAGAGAGGTAAGTGTGTAGAAGCTTCCAGAAGCTTCAACAGAGCTGACTGGGGGCTGCCCAAGAGTGAGGGAGCTGTTCCCTAGCCAACTGTGAGTCCCTTTATTCTGCCTATTTCCTGGCAGAGTTCAACGAACACAGTGAGCAAAGGTGGGCTCCCGCCTGGTGTGTGTGGGGCTGGCAAGTTGGCGTAACCGATAAAAGTGCTTGCCATACAAGCCTGATGACCTGAGTTCAATCCTCTGAACCCACAGGGGTAACTAACTTCCAAAAGTTCTCTTCTGAAGTCCGTGCACACACCATGACACACGGGTACTTCCTTAGCCTGCATCGCGCACACAGGAAGATTTTAATAAGTGAGCTAGCAGACATTTCCCTGCACTTAGGTTTAGCAGGACGTGGTGAGGGACAGCTGTAGTCTCGGCTCATGGAAGGCCGAGCAAGATGTCCAACAAGAGGATAGAGCGGTACCATCTCAGCCAGTAAATTTGTTTGGGACCTGAGTTTGATCCCGGAACCCAAGTCAAAAAGCTGTGTGTAGGGGCTGGAGAGATGGCTCCGTGATTAAGAGCATTGGTTGTTCCCTAGAGGGCCCGGGTTAAGTTCCCAGCATCTGCATGGTGGCTCGTGTGTAATTCTAGTTCCCGGAGATTCATGGTACAGGCATGTTTGTGATGCACATATCTATGCATGAAGCAAATTGCACATAAAATAAATAAATCTTGCCCTGGTGGTGGTAGTGCATGCCTTTAATCCCAGCAAAGGGAGCTCTGTGAGTTCAAAGCCAGACTAGTCTACAGAATGACTTCCAGGACAGCCAGGGCTACATAGAGAAACCCACTTTGAGAGAAAAAAAAAATGCTAGACATGGCAGCAAGTGCCTGTAAACCCAGCTTTGGAGAGGTGGAGACAAGCAACTCCCTAAGGAGGAAAGGGCTCACTGGCCAGCCAGTCTAGTCTACATGGCAAGTTCCAAGCTAGTGAGACACCCTGACTCAAAAAGCAAGATGGATATTCTCAAAAACCCAATAAAAAATTATTTTTAGGGGCTGGAGAGACAGCTCAGCAGTTAAGAGCACTGGCTGTTCTTCCAGACATCCTGAGTTCAATTCCCAGCAACCACATGGTGGCTCACAACCATCTGTTTTGGAATCCGATGCCCTCATCTGGTGTGTCTGAAGACAGGGATCCGATGCCCTCTTCTGGTTTGTCTACAGACAGCCACAGTGTATTCGAATAAGCCAGGCATGGTGATACCCACCTTTAATTTCAGCACTGGGGAGGCAGAGGCAAGAAGATCTCTGAGTTCAAGGCCAGCCTGGTCTACAGTGTGAGTTCTGGGAGAGCCAGGGCTATGTAGAGAGATCCAGCCTCATCGAAACAGAACAAAAAAAGCAAACAACATCTAAGGTGGGCCTCAGGCCTGTCTATGTGGTCACACAGAGGTACACATGCGCACAAACACACACATGTACACATGTTGCTTTTCAAAACCTTTCCTGTCCTTCCAGTCAGGCTTGGGCACAACTGCCTGTCCCTCCAAAACCCGGTTGTCTCTGCCTGCTGGATCCACAGAGTGACTCACCGTGGCACTGCTCGCAGACCTTCTGTGTGCGGGCACATCCCTGGACTGTTCTATCGTCCCCTTCAACCTCAGCAGGATCTAAGTTTGGACTTCAGCTTTCCGCCCCCCCCACCCGGCTCACCAGCTAAGCCGCTGCATGTCTGTGTTTTTAAGTACTTTAGGGGGTCTTTCTGTCCTCAGAGGTCTCTGTCCCAGGGGGCAGTACTCAAAGGACAGCATCTCCTTCCTGCTCATGTCCTGGCCATGAAATGAAACTCAATCTTCTGTCCCCCAACAGTTTCTGTCACAAATAGGAACAAAATGCTGGCCTACCTTCCCCTCTGACGGGAGTCTGGGCTTTGGGGGGATGAGGGGACATCAAGGCACCTGAAGACGCACCCACAGCCTTGGTCCAGGCTCTGCTGCCCAGCCAATAAAGCCACAGAGGGTGAGGAGGCACATGCTGGGTGTCCTCACCACACAGGGGACATGGGAAACCCAGTAGCATGAAGCTAAGCAGACCAGAAACTCCAAGGTCATCTTTGGCTATGCAAGAGACCAGCTTGGACTACTGACAAAAAGGGAAACAAAAAATTTTAAAATAATAATAATAACGAAGGGTTGGGGTAGAGACAGAACCAGGAGGTCGAGCCTGCCTGGAAGGGAGCACTGGGAATTTCCCCTTAAAGGGTAGATTCTTCACTGGCGTGTCCCACTTTGCTTCATGGCCTCCGAGGGGAGTGTCTCTGTGCCACAGCCACTGTCCCCACCATGATGGTCTTCCTCATCCTCCCCAAAGCCTAAAAGCCAGGACCCAGGCCACCATGGATGACACCTTGGAAGCCATGAGCCAAAACAACCCTTCCCTTATTTAAGTTGATTTGCTCAGGTGTTTTGTCACAGCATTGAAAGGGAAACTAACACAGCCACTCACCTACAAGATGCACACCTCTACTGTCTCTGTCCACAAAGGAGAAAGCCTAGAGCCCGCCCTCCTCCCGCCTCAGGGCTGAGACTGGCATTGCTAGCCAGCTGGGATATTTGAGAACAATGAGGATCACTTCAGGAAAACAATATCTATCTCTCTCTCTCTCTCTCTCTCTCTCTCTCTCTCTCTCTCCCCCTCCCTCCCTCCGTCTCTCTCTCTCTCTCTCTCTCTCTCTCTCTCTCTCTCTCTCTCTCTGTGTGTGTGTGTGTGTGTGTGTGTGTGTGAGAGAGAGAGAGAGAGAGAGAGAGAGAGCACTTCAGCAATACACGACACAGAAACAAAGGTAGAAAACAGCACAGCTATGGATAGATTATTTTAACATCCTATGTCAGGAGTTTGTGTAGACAGAGACAGGAAAAATGTCATCAAAGACAAAGAGCTGAACCCCAACCACCACACTGGCCTAACTGGTGGCAGCAGCCCCAGGGTTGGAGAAGTGGCCTCTGCCTTCCACGGCCAACCCCATCACCCTCAGTTCTGCCAGCCGCACAGGGCACAAATTTCTCCAGGAGCTTCTCAATGACACCCGTGCCAGCCCTGGTGAGCAAAAAGTCATTCTGGCCACAGGAAAGAACCCCATGTGAGTGACAGAGGCCAAAATAAAATGGTGCTGGAGAGATATCTCAGACATTAAAAGTGCGTGCTGCACTTGCAGAGAACCTGAGTTCAACTGCAAACACCCACATCGGGTGCCTTACAACTTCCTGTAATGACAGCTAGGGGTCTGACGCCCTCTTCTGGCCTCTGTGGGCAACTACACTCACGTGTACAGACACACAGAGATACAAACGTACATACACAGCCACATAGTCCATGCTGCAGGGTGGCCCAGAGCTCCAGCTGTGCGTAACTAGACAGACCAAACGCCCTCCCGCAGGGAAGAAGTAAACATATGCAACCTGCCTCTCAACTGTGGCTGCAGGCCACACGACATGGGGACCCGGTGGTCAAGCACCCAAGGAGCATTTCTTTAGCTTCTGGGGAACCTTTGTTTTAACCCTGCAGAGACCAGAGTACCCTCAATCACCGGGCACCCACGGTTGGTTAGTATCCTCAGGGGAAAAAAAATGCCAGGAACTGACTTCTCCGCATTGGATGGTCCATCCTGATGTATTAATTCTCTGCCCCCCAGCGGCAGTGAGAAGAACTGGCCTTGGCAAGTCTCCGGGAGCTCAGCCGCCGCCTCAGAGAAGAGAACTTGTCCCCCAGGACCCTGCGAAGTCCCACGTTATCCTTGCCACAGGGCACGTGCTGCTTGGTCACTGGAAGCTGCCCTGTGAACATCTCCCACCGGCCCAGGGCATCCACAGCCGCATCCACCTGGACCAGCTCCTCCTCAGCCACCTCCCTCTCCAGGGCCTGGATACATGCGTCCAGCCACTGTCTGTATTCCTCCATGGCGTCCACAGGCCCCCCAAGTCTCAACAACACTTCTGAGGCCACGAGGGAACTCAGTCCATCCTCAGACACTGGCTCAGGCCCATCAGGGAAGGTATGACTCCACGCATCAGGGGTGACGGGCTCTGACGGGCTGGTGACAGGCTCCGTGTCACTCTCGCAGCCCATGCCCGAGTCAGCACTGAAGGGTAAGGTGTCCTCTGACACAGATGGCTCCCCAACTTCTTGACCAGACCACAACTCCTCCATCACTCGAGTCCATGTGTGGAGTCTCTGTGGGAAGAAACACAGGCTGAGGTTAGTGAGGGAGCCACTGAGGACCAACCCAAGGAGCCGGCATGGGGCTGGAGTCATGAGGGCCCTTAAGGTGGGTCTGAGGTCTAGAGTCCAGGCCACAGCCGAGCTGGATTTCCCAACTCCCAGAAGTCACAGGTACTTGGCAAGCTAGTTGTTAACCAGCCACTGCTCAGAGTTAAGTTACATGAAGATTATAGTTAATCTGAACTTTATGTGTGTGTGTGTGCACGCGCGTGTGCACAGCGCTTGTGCATACCACACAAGTGTAGATTGCATACACGTGCACGTGGAGGCCAGAGATCAACACGGGCATCCTCACTTGGCTCCTTGTTTTTTGAGACAGTCTCTCACTGAGCCTAAACCTCACCATGGCTAGCCTGACCAGCTGGCGTGCCTCAGGGACCCTACTGTCTTGGCCTCCCCGCCAACTTTTTATTAGGTGCCAGGGATTGAAATTCACGCCCTCATACCTGCTAAGGTATCTTCCTGGCCCCTACAGTTAAAACCTTTTTCCCACTGGGTGGTGGTGGCACATACTTTTAGTCTCAGTACTCAGAAGGCAGAGGCAGGCAGATCTCTAAGTTCAAGGCCAACCTGGTTTACAAAGTGAGTTCCAGGACGGCCAGGACTACATAGAGAAACCCTGTGTCAAAAAAAAAAAGTTTATTTTCCTCCTATTTATTTATTTACTTATTCGTTGTTTTCCTTCTTTTTAAAAAATATTTAGCCTGGCATTGTGTTGTACGTCTTTAATCCCAGCAACTGGCAGGCAGAGGCAAGCGGATATCTGTAAGTTTAAGGCCAGCCTGGTCTACAGAGCAAATTCCATGATAGCCAGAGCTATTTAATGAAACACTGTCTTTAAAAAAAGATTTATTTATTTTATGTGTAAGTATTTATGTGCCTGAGTGCATATACATGTTCACCCCATGCGTGTAGTACCCACAATGGCCAGAAGAGGGCATCAGATTCTGCAGACTTAACTGATAGTTGTGAGCTACCAGACATGGGTACTGAAATCAAACCACTCTTAACCACTGAGCCATCTCGTCAGCCCGAGTTAAAACATTTTTAAGTCAAAAGGAAGAATCAACACATTTCCTGCCCCCCAAACGCTACCTACCGTCTGCTGTGCTGTTGTTAGCTTCCTAAAGGATGGACGCCCTAGTGTGACATAGCACATGCCCAGATGTGCTATATCCTGTGTGACAAGATATAGTGTGTCGCACCTCACTTAGCTCTGTGCCCCTGCCAGAATCTCAGGGGCTGTCCTAGTGACGCTGAGCTGACTCCACTCCTGCAGCAGCCTGGAAGGCCAGAGCCCCACGAGTCCCCATGAAGGACCTGGCCACCCCAGGGTATCAACTCAACTCCAGGTGACTTACATTCTCTCAGCTCCATATGCACGCCATAGCACACGCACACACACACACACACAAATAAAACTTCATAAAACTGAGAGGGAACTGGAGAGATGGCTCAGCAGGTAAGAGTACTAGTTATTCTTATAGAGGACCCAGGTTCAATTCCCAGCATCCACACGGTAGCTGACAACCATCTGTGACTCCAGTCTGAAGGGACCTCACACCTCCATGAACAGCAGACACACACATGGTATGCATACATGTAGGCAAAGCACCCATACTCATAAAAAATAAAAATCTTTTTTCTTTTTCTTTCTTGTTTGTTGGTTTTTGTTTTGTTTCGAGACAGGGTCTTCCCTATGTAGTTCTGGCTGTTTTGAAACTCACTATGTAGACCAGGCTGGCATCAAACTCACTGAGATACCCCTGCTTCTGCCTCCACACTGCTGGAATTAAAGATTGCACCAACGCCTCAAAATTAAAGAAGAAAGTTGAGCCTAGACACTGAAAACAACTAATTTTTACACAGACAGGAATATCCCCCTCCCTGCACTGAAAATTTTAACTTGACTTCAACCTAAAGTGGATTTCAAGAAAAAATCAGCAGTCTTTGCATTTGATCCCAAACCCTGAGCCAAGTGTCCTTGTTTGCAACGGAGCCCTCCTACAGGGATTAAGGTTAGAGGTTGCTTGTGGCAATACTTCATGCTGACAGCAGAGGGCAGCACCCCCTCGCCAGCTCAGCCAAGAGAGGCTCCGCAGCTGGCTTGCCCCTCTGGACACCAACTTGATGCACTTCCTCTTTGTCCTGGGAGCTGCACTCCCTCTGACTACAGGATTCCTAGTGTCCACCGTGGAGCAAAGAATAGGAAAGAGGGCATGGAGATTTAGAGAAGAAGCCTCCCCGATGCTCTGTAAATACAGCACTTCTGGGGGGGGGGGGGGCTCTGCACCTGCCCTACACACTGCAGCCAGATGTCGCTGCCACCAGCCTGTGTGTTTTATCTGCCAAAAAGACCTGCAGCCCACCCCCCACCCCACCCCCAAGGAATGATGGTGGATGCATATCCTTTGGTGCTCTTCCCCACCCACCCACACACACTGTCCCCTCCCATTGCCTCTGTGTGGCTGCCCTGCACCCCACACACTCACCTTGTACCTCTCCAGGAGCCTGAAGCCCAGGAGATGGTGCAGTTTCCTCAAGCAGATGGGACAGAGGTCCAGGGGCCGCCGGAGTGCCTCATCCAGGCTAAGCGCCCCCTGCAGGAGGCAGCGGAGCCAGCGACAACTCCCCAGGCCCAGGAGGTGGCAAAGCTCATGGCAGGTGACCTAAGGGGGACAAGGCCCCAAGTTTTGCCTCAGTCTCAGAATCCTGTAACTCCCACCCAGGGATCCCCGAGCCCACTGGGCAACCCTGGAAGAAGTTCACCACCTTGGGTAACAACGGATCCCCGGGCGGTGATCCAAGCATCCCCCTCACTGCATCCACCATAGTGCTCCAAGAAGCCACACAGCATGAGGAGGTTTAGAAACCATCCGGACCAGGGGCCAGATCCCAGAACCCTTTGGGTCATATCTCTGTGGTCTTGAATCATGGGGTCTTTTATTCTTGGATCACTCACTCTTAAGAGTTAGGGACCACCTTCCTTTCAGCGCTGATGGTGCAAGGGGCCTCTGAGCCTGTCCTTCCCATCCCCCACGCTCACCTTGCAACACTGAACCATGCCCAGGGCGCTGAAGCACAGGGTCTGTCCTCCCTCATGTGGCAGCGTCTCAGGGCCACCTGCTGCTGATGCCTCCAGCAAAGCTGGGTCAGGAACACTGGGCCCGGCCTGCAGGAACTCCCCAGAGAAACGAGCGAAGCTACACACACCCACTTCTGGGGAGAGGCCAGAAGAAGTAGTCCAAGGGACAGCCATGGCTCAGGAACCCAGGTGAAACCACCCCAGCACTTCCAGCAGCCCAGAAGAGCCAGAAGAGGAACTGGTCCCCTGGCCCTGCCATATCCAGTGGACTCGGGACCAGCCCTTGCCCCAACCCACTGAGAAGGCAGCCTCAAGCTTGTGCACACATCCCCCCACCCCCAGGAGAGAACACGTATGCCCTGCACTGCTGGGCTGGGACCACGTCATTCTGACTCCAGGCAACAGTTGCTAGGACCTCAGCTCACCATGCTCGGGAAGAAATCTGCCAAAGGTGAAGGTCCAGGCATCGTGGGGGTACAGGTCGGCCAGCGTGAGGCCCAGCACGCACAGTGCATCCCCCGGCTTGTTGTTCTTCAAGAAGGACAAGATGCCATCTGCAGGAAGAAGGTCGGGGCGAACAGATGAGCATCTCATTCATTCTATCTATTGGTCTGGGCCCAGCCCCTCTCAAAGCTGGATGCAGATAAGCCACGCCTGTGTGAGCCCCGGGGTTCAGGGCAGCTATTTAACGTGGCAAGGACCCTGGGCCTGGCCTCAGAACAAGGCCATGGATCCCTAGGTCCAGTCATTTCCTGAGTCTGTCCCCTGGGTCATGAGATCTGATCTGGACACAGTAAGGCCATCGCCTTCCATGTGGAGAGGCCAAAGGGGCAGTCAGGGGCTGAGGAGAGGGCTCGGTGAGTATAGTGTTTGCCTTGCAAACATGGAGCCCGAGTCTGACTCCCCAAGACCCATGGAAGAAAGCCAGTCCCAGGGGCTTGTAATCCCAGCCCTGGGAAGGCAGAAACAGCTAGTTCCCTGGAGCTTACTGGTCAGTCAGCCTGGACAGATTAGTGAGTCCCATGGCAGTGAGGGACCTGGCTCAAAATAAAATAATAGGTTGTCGTCACTGACTAAGGAAGACCTAACTGAGGTCCTGACCTCTGCCCCCCATCTCTCTCTCTCTCTCTCTCTCTCTCTCTCTCTCTCTCTCTCTCTCT